GCCCGGTCAGACACGATCTCTCGCGCGGACATTCACACTCGCCATGCCGTGCCGTCTGTGCTCTCCGCGCGGATGTTCACTCTCGGCACTACTCTCGCATGGTAGAGAGCTATGGTCGAGGATTTCCTCGACCGTTATTCACCCTGCTCGACCGTATCACCCTGGCTGGGCCAATCCTTCCTTGAGCTCCGCCACTGCCAGTGTTTACCCAGGGTCAACCGTCCGTTCGAACTGTTCGAACGAAGGGGTCGCATTTTGGTCGGAAGGGGGTCGCAATTTCGAGGACTGCCAGCCACAGGCGCGTGCGTGGCGTATCCGAGGGCAAGACTTGCTTGTGCAGACCGCATTAGATTCGATTTATTATGCACAGAGAGACAGTTTTAGGCAAATTACGGTGTTTTCTTGAGGAAGTAAAGAACAGTTGAATGCATCCCTATGAAAGGTTTGACTTCTCGGGGCTGAAAACAAAGTTCTTCAAAGACCTAAACTTCGTAATGTGCTGCTCAAAAACCCAGGGGAAAAATGTTCGAACGTGTGATTTTCTCGAAAAATAAACTTTGAAAAACGGTTTGGTGCTTGTTAGAAAGAGCAAATCCTGTACTTTCACCCCATGAAAAAGTGCATCACAGAAATGAAAATGAAGTGAGTTATGGTCGCTGAAAGCCCAAAAACTCGCTTTTGCACGAAAAATGTTCGAACGGGACAATTTTTTTGAAAAGGGGACAATCACTAAACTTTTTTATACTATTTTGTTAGAGAAATATTTGAAGTTTCTGAAACTTTTACATTTCCAAAATGTCGCATACGAAAGATTTTATGGGCCTTCAAAGTTGAAGGTGCGCCTTCTTAGAATTTTGGGTTTTCCACTTCTAACAGAAGTACTTTCCGGAGAGTTAGGCAATCCTTGTAGTTTTCTGGAAGCGCACCTCAGGCACAATCAAAATCTACCTCAACAAGTCAAAAAAGTACGTCCCAAGAAAGTTATTCCCCTCTAAAATTTTTTCTTCGCCGCGTCCCGTTCTTCCAGCGCCCGGGTGATACCTGCCGCGCTCCAAGGCTGACGCCGCAACGCAGACGCTTTCTGCGGCGGCGGCGCAGACGCTTTCTGGCGCAACGGATTCATGTCTAGCACTTATTACAAAAACAGGGGGTCGCAACTGGACCCCCTCGAGAGCTAGGGGTCGCAAAAATCCCGAAAATGTTCGAACGTGACGGTTGACCCTGGTTCACCCCAGAAGCAGCGTCCGGTTATCATTTTGATGAGGTGTTCCGTTTTGAGTGCGTATCACATAACTCTTGCACGGGACGCCTTACCAATCAACCATAGCCTTTCTGATATAGCTATCGGTTCAACATGTGCAAAATATCTCTTATACGGTTGCTACATAGCTCCGTCCATTATCGGAGGTCAACGGGCAGAGAAATGGGTTCCATTTGCGCCTTGTTCACAGATTTCTTTGTTTTTTTTCGCCATTGGGGCATTATTCAGCATCATCCACTTTCCACCATGAACCTAGTCTGATCATACCGTAATCTCTCTCCTTGGTCATTTGTCATGAGAGGGTCATACCATGTGTTTGTAATCATGACGGGAATTTAATGGTTTTTTCTAAAACAAAGGGTAGCTAGCTAATTTTTTCGTCGACCGTTATCAAATTTGGGCGCTATTGCAAGATCAGAAAACACGCTTCCGGCTTAGCCGCATGCGGAGAGGCACCTCGGAGCGACCATGAAACCTGCCTGACCCTCCCTGGATAACTGCGGCCTAAAGGCTTGTCCGTACCACACCCAATTCCGTGTTTCCGTTGACCCCTGCATAAGCCACCATCGTCCACTTTCGCCACGAATCACGCATCGGATTTGATCACATTCAAATTCTGAGGCCCCTAGCAGCTTTCATCAGTAAGCATCATTTTCCATGACGTGATCGGGCAGAGAATCCTCGACGAGCCGTTGAGGAATCCTCAAGCGATATTCACCCTGATTGGCAGCCTCAGGGCGCTGCAGCTAGCGCACCTTTGGCAAAAACGCAACATTTCGCTTCCTTCGCCCCTGACTACTGCTTCCACTGGTGCATGTACTTCGCTGCACCCACACTTTATCGTAATCTCTAGCTTTAAGTTGTCACGATGCTGATGATGGGTGCTAGTAAATGGCTATGAGCGACAAGGACATTCTAGGACTAAGTTCGCTACAGCATTGCAATCCATTTAAAAAGATGAGTATGAATTTAGCAAGTCTAGCCGGTTATCATGGAACAATTATCTTCAAATAATAAATTGCCGGAGTAAGTAGTTATTGCCCTACAACAAAAGGTAGCTCCTCAGCAAATTACCTCGTTTTATTATTAATCCAGTACCGCGAGAAACAGAATTCATTTGACTGAACTGAAGTATTTAGATTTTTGGATGATAGTAGTGTACGCACTTCAGAGATAAACATTAGAAACTCAGTAAGTATTCGTTTCTGTTCAGTACTTATATCGAGGAACCCTATTCAAGCGCTAAGTTATTTGAATATAAGGTAAGACCAATGCTAGATGATTGCAGAGTTGTGATAAGTACACTCCTAACGCTACTGCGCATATCCTACGATAGGTTTCAGCGCAAATGAGGAAGCTATGGAACTTTAGGTCATACGCCATTGGTAATATGTGATCGTGAACTGCTAGCTGATAACACTTAAGCTATCCAGCTTCACTGAAGACCAATGTGTGTATGATGCGCCCGGTAGCGCGCGGAGCCAAACTATTAGAGCTATAAGAAAAATGATATAGTTTAGATGAACACTTTCGCCACGTCATTGATGTCCGCCTACAATGTCTCCCAACAGCACGCTCGTGTAGCGCTGATGGCTGTCGGAAGTGGTAAAGCGGGTTCGATACCAGTGGCATACTTCAACAGCATCGATTCGAACAAGAGTCTGGTGAAATATATTAACACGATCGAAGATTACGCGGACTTCGAAAATGACGGTCAGGCAATTGCACGGTGAGTTTTTTGTCCTAAACAGCGCCGAGAGACAAACATTTTTTATCACCTCTAGTCTTTTCTGTTTTCCGTTTTTGATCGCGAAGTCGATAATCCTTTTTGGTTGCTAATATCCCATTTTTGGTTGCCTGTGAACTAAAATAACACCCTGAGCAGAAGTCGTGTCGAAGTGTGAGTGTGCACTGAGGGTTGCCCACCCCACAGGCACGAATCATGAAAGGCAGCTCCACTCCGCCCAGCCGAAGTGAAAATGCTGAGATAGACTTGCGGCTGGATGAAGCTGGGCAAGGTTATCGGGCAGTGCCTCAGATTATCCCTGGTCTCGAACTGAAATGCGCGAAAGAGAGCGAGTGCGACGGTACGAGCACGTGCTCAGAAGACCAGAGGGCCGCCTGTAAAAGAATCGCTAGGCTTTTACTCGTAGGGCCAGCGACCACTAAAATTCCCGGAAACTTTGAAAGAACTCACTCAAGAAGTATCCTCCCTTCCGAAAAACGAGAAGAACGTCGGGTGCAGACCAAACACCACAAGTGACGACGGCCTCCAAGTAAATCTGGTTAGTAGTGTTCATAGTGATAGCTGATTTCTGGTAAATGATAGTGTAATTAGTGACAACGACAGAATACAACTGCAACAGGCTAATCATTTCATTGGCAGAAACATTTACATTTTGTGGAGGCCGTCGTCACTTGTGGTGTGTGGTCTGCAC